TTGAGGAACCACGGTGGTATTCGGTCTGGTCCCGATGCTTTAGAGGGATTGAGACCTTGAAGCATTTTTTCGACACCATCAGTAGAAACTACTATATGTTCCATTGGAGGAGTACAGGGCTGGCCTAGAGATAGCATATCTGTGGTGTCTTCCTCTGTGAAAACACTTTGAACTGTGAACTGAGTACTTCTGCTTTTTTCCCACTGTCACTGATGATGGTATTTCCCACCTTTAGGGGTGCTACCACGACAAGGTCTTTCCTCAGTCCTTTTATGTACGACCAGAATGTTTTAGGTTTGTCAACTATAGCTTCTCCCAGTATGTCTGCCACGTATTTAGAGTGTGCTTGTCTGATGCTTTTCTGAACTCCCTTCTTAACTCTCTTATATTTGTTCCAGTCTTCCTCTTGACCTGTTTTCTTAGCTTTGTTATAGAGCCGCTGCTTCTTACGACAGTGCCTCCTTAGGTTTCTGTTGAACCAAGGCAAGTTGTATCTGCTTGATGTTATCTTACTTGGGATGTGCTTGTTCATCGTGTCTTTCATTTTGTCTTTGAAGTCTGACCACTTCTGTGTAACTGACATATCCTGAGTTCTTTTGTGAAAGTTAGTTGCATAATCCGTTAGGTCTTTCTTAATGGCTGGTTCGTCGGCTTGTGTGCGGATGTACACTTTTCTCTTAGGTTTCCTGTTTTGTTTCAGTGCCAGGTTAACGTCCACTAGAACCATGTCGTGGTCACTTATCCCCGGGACTACTGTGGTCTTCTCAATTATGTTGGGGTTATTAACTAAGACCAGGACCAAGAGATTACCATTTCTAGTTGGTTCCTGGACTGTTTGAAATAACCCGTGGTTATCCATTAGGTTTAGTAGTTTCTCTGCTTGGCCTGTGTAGGCCTGACTGTTGTCAGCTACAGTAGTATCCCATTTGATGCCAGGGGTGTTGAAATCGCCAAGAATGATCACATTGTCAGAGTTTATTTTTGCTCCCATCTTACCTATAGACCTGTCAAGTTCATCCAGACTATTGCCCTGGTCTGATGGGGGTCTGTAGTATGTACCTATTATCAGTGGTTTCCTTCCTGCAAGTTGAGTTTGTGTCCGCAGATCCTCGCAGTCTGTGTCAAGGTCTGGCCTATGGGTAACAATTAGATCATCTCTGTTGGCCTGAAATACACCACCTCCTTGGCCAGTTTGTCTGTCTTTCCGGTGTGCTATGTAGTTGCTGGGGAATATTTCACTACTTGCTATGTTTTGGTTGAGCCATGACTCTGTACCTGCTACTATATCTGGCTTGTAAGTGTCAACTACTGTCGCCAGTTCAGCTGTTTTGTTCCGCACACTCTGACAGTTTACTAGGAGAAGTTTACTTTTGGATCTCTTGTGACTATGACCCCTCGTTTAAGAATTACCCTGCTTTGATTTAAGTGGAGTGGATGTAGCCATTGGGATTTCGTCTGGTAAACTTGAGTCAGAACTCAGCGTGTCAAATGAGTTTACTGAATGGAATGTTTCATCAGTGATATCGAATATGGCCGATGCAAAGTTGGGTATACCACAGTCACAACATACCCACGAGTATGATCGGTGGGTTTCTAGTGCACTGTATACTTGAGAACATAGCCTAATGCAGTCACTGTGGTACCATCTATCGCATTCATCACAGCATATTGCATTATGGGTGTTACGTACTGCCTTGTTACAACTTCCACATGGAGACTTTGGTAGTCTAGGCCCTGGGTTGATCTCAATATCCCCGCTTAAGATCAGAATCATGATCAGTGAAAACTTTGTGCCACTATTGTGCAATAGCATTTTCTTGCTACTGACGTGAGTTCCGTTAGCCCCGCTGTGCTTAATCATGAAAGCAAAAGTGGCCCAGTCAGATGTGCAATCGGTTCTGAAGTTGCATGTGACCTGTACTTTCTTTATCTCCTGTTTGTCTTTTGGCTGTGATCCTGGCTCAGCCCTGCTAAGTACTGTGCAAAGGGCTAGGAATATACAAATGTAGTGGAGTTCCATTTTTATTCCCATAACCGCGGGACCCAGTCACCGCTCCTGTTATTCCGAAATTCCGTTAGCGGGACCCAGTCACCGCTCCTGTTATTCCTTAGCGGGACCCTAGAGCTGTCACCGCTCCTGTAATTGCGGAATTCCTTAGCGGGACCCTAGAGCTGTCACCGCTCCTGTTATTCCTTAGCGGGACCCTAGAGTTGTCACCGCTCCTGTTATTGCGGAATTCCTTAGCGGGACCCTAGAGCTGTCATCGCTCCTGTTATTCCTTAGCGGGATTACCGTACAAGATTACTACAGATGTGCTTGCCTAATTTAATTAGCCCGGCTAGGTTCTGAATACATATGTAAATTTGTTTACCAAACGGCGGTCGGACGCGTCGCCGACGCAAATTTCCGTCCCGTAAACGGTCGTCGCCTTTCCGAACGGTCGTCGCCTTTCGGAGCGGTCGTCGCCATTTCCGAGCGACCGAACTTCAGTTCCGAATATCCGCGGCATATTCGGGACTTCCCGGAGTTCTTGGAATGTGTGAATCGCACTCAGTCCATAACATGGCGACCGTAGGCGGGCCAGAAATGTAACTTGTCTCCTCAACTGCTGATTTTATAAGATCAGCATACGATCCTAGGCCTGGATCTTCTCCAGCCTATTCTCAGTGTTTCCCTTCGCCAACAAACTGAAGAAGGGTTCATATAATGCCGTTTATACAAATGACAAATGAATCTTCAACCAAAAACAAACATAGATTCCGTCCCTGTGCTATATTTCTCAATCCCTGTGGTATGTATTCCTTTCGTCTATGTAAAATTCATGTAGGATTAATAAAGGACCTGCTGTTTTAGAAGGGGGACAATGTCTTACTTTGACAGGAGTTTTGACAAACTTGTAAAGCTATTTTCATCCCGAAATGTCTATGTTTTGTTATCTTGCTGAATGTTAATACTTGACACATTCACCACTGCACTGTATGTAAATACGACACATTCACTGGGTAGCACATCAATGCCATGCTGGTGACAAGTGTGAAATGGCCTGCTATGCTGGGCAAGCACTGAGACAACAAAATAAAACCCGGCTGTGGTGGAGTTGTGAGTCAGTCAGTCAGGACATAATGTCCTTGGTCAGAGTAAATGTCTGCATGTGTGATGGTGCTTCCGAATGAATGTTTCTGAGTCAGACCATCCTGCAGCATTCATAATTTACATGCTCGCACAATGGGCTGTTCCAAAAATACATAGGGATTTTTTCTCGCCCCCGTTTCAAATTCAGCAATGTATGAAAACCTACAAACGTTCTAGTTCAGAGGGTTTTTTTTTTCAAATAATGTTTATTCGCATTTCAAAAGGAAACAAAGAAAAAAGGGAGAGGACATGTTCACATACAAGAAAAATAAATACCCAGAGACATTCGAGTTCAGAGTTACCCAAACCCTTCCCGTTCCAATCGAGAATTTCTCAAACACTAACCTAGTTCTAACCTAGATAATTCAACCCCTGGAACTTATAATTATAATACATGTACTAGCACCCACGCAACTTCAATCCACCTAGCCAAGTTCTGGCCCGTCTTCAGTCGCGATGTTATCTTCAGGAAGTGCGTGATTTCACACATTCAAAGAACTCGGAGAAGTCCCGAACATGTCGCGGATATTCGGAACTGAAGTTCGGTCGATCGGAAATGGCGACGACCGCTCCGAAAGGCGACGACCGTTCTGAAAAAAGGCGACGACCGTTCGGAAAGGCGACGACCGTTTACGAGACGGAAATTTGCGTCGCCGACATGCTCAAATCATACAAATGCCACAAAAATATACAGTACGTACCAAAGACTAACAACAAATATCAGTACCAACTACTGTATCTGTAACTATTGATCACCAAGTGTGTTTCACAAGTAATGTTAGGCCAAATATTCACATACAGATGCGGGTCGCCCTCCCACGCTATACACTATTCATATGCAAATACGTCTATCAGTGTTGGCGCCCGAGACGCGACGCCAAATATATGTTCAAGTGAATCAAGTCCCTTACAAATTATACAAAGACCTTCCAAATATATCACTACGAAAATCTGTTGTCCAAGTTACTAGTGTAACGACACGTCGTTCTATGATTCCTAGATTACAATATCTATACTAGTATACGGTTGTCCTCCCCACACAGATACGTTACTCGTACTCGTCGCCCTCCCCACTCGGTACGTGGTGGTTTACAAGACAGTTAAAATTGATTCAAAATCTAAAAATGCCACCATTTATCGGTTTTACAAGTCCACAATACGTTCAAGTATTACTTGTGGGCTAATCTAGAACAAAAATCCAAAAATGGGAAAATACTCGGGTGCTCTCGTGTTTGCTGCCGCTCACCTCCGCGCCTCCTACGTTTTAATAGTTTGTGTTGCCTGTACGCAATGTTTGATTCTAGTCTATAAAAGTGAGAAACATAAGATATAAATGCAGATAAACTTAAGGAATACTTACGATTTTTAAAAATAAACATTTTACCCAGGAGTACTAAAACATTGGAGAGAACCGGGCATCGATCACTCAGGTTACCAAAAATTATATTGATTGCATTGATTTGTAAATAAGTACCAGTGATGATAAAGAACCAGTCGTCCACCTGACTCCACAAATATGCAGATATTCGGCAATTCCAAAATAGGTGGACAACTGATTCTTCTTCCTCTTTACATAGACTGCAAATTGGTGAGTCTATTAACCCCCTTAAAAAAATGTTTTATTACAAGTTAAAAATTTGAACAGCAGTTTGTATTGAAACATACGAGTGTTTGAGTCAATAGAAATTTTATACGGCAAACTATACACTTTGTGCCAAGGTAAAGGGGTATCAAAATATTCCTCCCACGAAAATTTAACTTTGTCAGACGAGTCCCATAAACTGGCTTCGTTCATAAAAAATGAATACAGATCTTTATTAATATTTCCCTTACGTAGCCAGCTTATGTTTCTACAGACTGGAAGACAAGCACCCAGGTTTGGAGATGTCTGTTTTAGCGTGGTTTTCCAACAAGAAGCTCACCAGGTCTCTCAAACAGAAGCTGGACTCCTTCGACACCCAGTGCCTGAGAAAGATCGAAGGCATCCGTTGGCAGGACCATGTCACCAACGAAGCAGTACGCTACACAACAAACCAGGTCCCGATCAGCCAGAGGATCACCAAGCACCAGCTAAACCTCCTGGGTCACATCTCCAGAGCTACACCCACCCAGGAAGTGATTAAACCGATCACCACAGCTCCAGATCCAATTTGGAGGCGCCCTAGAGGCCGTCCCAGGAGCAGATGGGAAGACCGGGTTTTCAACGTGCTGGACAGTTTAGGGGTCAGCAGAACTGACTTGAGTGCGCTGGCAGAAAACAGAACATCCTGGAGGGACATGGCTACAGCCGCCATGCATCTACCCTGATGCTTGCGGCTTGATTGATTGTTGTTTGCCTTTACTTCCAAACACCACATGTAGGAAGTCCCGTCAGTTACACCCGTGGACTTACAGCGTTTACAGTTTAGTTAAACAAATTATGCCATGTACATATGGCGAAATTTTGAACAGTCAGTATTATTTAAACTATATCCTGATTTGTATAATTGTTGATTTATTATTTTAAGAAAGACTTAAGTTACATCACATGTTTAAAAGTACTTTTATGTAAAACACTGTTATTACAGAATTCCCTCCTTATTTATGAAAATTATGTCTCTATTTGCATAATTTGCAGTCAATTGTGTTCATCTTTGTATACGCTACGTACATATACAATGTAGAAAATATTTTGTTCCTTTTCGGACTCATCCGCTAAAAACGATTTCGTCAGAAACTACCCTAAAGATCCACCACTTATTCGTAACAGAAATAGCTACCTGTCACCAAGATTCCAAGACCATAGCATGTTTAGGATTACAAAAACCGGAAGTTCTTCTGCAGTTGACATTGTTCTTTACTTTTCTAAGACCTACCAACATACTAAATATCAGAACTCTATAGCCAAGCTATGAATGTGTTATTTACCTACAATTAACCTAGTAGTCTAGTAACCCATATTACACTACACCTTATCCCAAATCTGTCGGAAATATACGTATCACGAGCACCAACATTTTACTATGTGTCGATATACAAGATTAAAAAAATCACAATCGTATAAATTACATAATTTCTTATATGCCTACCTGACAAGTGTTTCCTGTGTCAGTGAGTTATAATAAAGACCCACATGATCTTTCATGTTAATCATGGCTATTAAAACCATCATGACCAGCAGGAGCAGGGCGCATTTTTGTTGCCTCATTGTTATCTCTTTACAAGCAAACCTGAAAACAAAGACTAAAATTAATACTTGAATAAAAGCCCCTTCTGTGGTGTTAGAGAGTGCATTATATATATATCTGACAAAAGGTTGACGAGATCGACTGGAAAATTCATGGTAATTCCCTCATGGAACAAAGTTAAACTTAACAACTGAAAAATTCAATGGTTTGACAGTGTTAAAATCTAGCGGTTTTCTTAATCTGTTTATTTTGTTTATTTAAATTTCCACCAGATGTGTGGAAGGGGAGAGAGAACAGGTGAGTCACCTTTACCAGCTCCCTCCCCAATTACCTCAACAAAAAGCATTGTAAACACT